AAGAGCACAAACAGGGCTAATTGTTACAGTCAGTACCTTCCTGTGTCTCCTGATTCCTGGGATGAGTAGACAGGAACAGGGGAGATGTTGTGTAGTGTTGCTACTGAAATAATCAGGGATATGGGGACTTGGGAGGAAAGAGGGAATGAGGGAATGAGGGAAAGAGGGTAAAGCACTGCTGTCCCAAGTCACTCCATAATTGTACTGAGAATGTAGAGTGTAGGGTGGGTGGGGAGAGGGGTATGAGGGTGTTGGGGGTATTAATGTGTAGTGTGTGTGCGTATGTGCCTGTGTGTGCGGGTGTGTGTGTGTGTGTGAGGTGAGGTGAAGCGTTTGGGCAAGGGATGCAGTTTGAAATACAGCTTCAGTATGACATTTATTAATGTTTTATTATACGACAGAGAAAGTGGAAGACAGGCTCAAATGAGGTGTGTTTGCAGTCAGCAGTCAATCATGTCAATTCAAACCTGGATAGGAAAATAAACAGAATAATTTAACTGTCAACTTCAAGTCTAATGAACCCTCATTTGAACACTTGAATGCAACTCACATTTTTTTAATCAATTGTATGGTATATCCTTTAGCCTTCGAAGGATAGAGTGTGTACACTGTTTTGCATATTTGCTGTGGTTGGAGTTTGCAGTTGGTATTGTTGTATTGTTACTGTATGCAGTACTGCTTTGGGATTCAAGCTGCTTTTGGCAGATGAAGAGAATGGAGGCTCACCTTACCTTCTGGAGAGACCTAAGGTATAGAGTAGTCCCATGAATACAGAATGTACACCTTTCTCGCCTGACTGGGTCCTATCTTCACAGAGGCAGGAACAGAGAGAAAGAGTCTTAAGCATTCAGGGTGTGTGTGTGCTTGTGACTGTGCTCTGCCTAGACCTGAGGGCATAGACACAGGTTCAAACAACAATGGAGAAATGGAGAGGAATTTTCAAACTGTCACTGCAAGGAAACTTTCTCTTTTCTTGTTTTTCTCGACCTTTCTCTCAATTTTACTGGTGTGTTAGGACTCCGAGCACATGCATGTGCATGGTCAGAACCAATACTGAGATAGACAAAACAAGGACAGAACTATAACCTAAACAAGGCTTGATTTAACGCTGAGAAAGTGCTATCCAGACAATACCAGAAAATACCAGACTAAATAGGTACTGAAACAGTCAGAAAAGGGTCACAAACCAAAGCAACAACCAGACCAAATAGAGTATATACAAGAGTAGACATAAGAGAACTAACCAGACAAATATGTATAAATGACCGATCTTAATTTCAGCAAGTTTGCTATAGCAGGAGAATAATCTTGCAGCAACTGAAAATGTGAATTATTATGTTAATTATAATTAATGTAGGGATTGACACATTTTTCGTAAGGGAAAATCAAGTTTAAAATGTCAAAGTGGAAATGACAAACTTCAGAAGCCTTTTTAAATCTCAAATAAACTACAAGTTTAACATTTCCTGCATTGCAGGAAAGTTCTCCTGCGACAGGGTGATCAAATTAAGATAAAACAAAGTGCTTACCAGACCAAATATGTACGAGAATAGACAAACCAAAGCACTACCCAGCAAACATGTCCACATTGGCATAATGTGGGCCCAATGCGGGCTAAAATATTGGCCCCATGCGCCTTTGGTCATCGGCTCCACATTGGCCCACAAGGCATTGGCCCAGTGTGACCCAGTGTGGGCAACCCATATCTGGTGAGGGCAGCCCTCACTTTGACTGAATTAAACTCATCTTTTCCCAGCAAACATGCCCACATTGGCACGATGTGGGCCCAATGCGGGTTAAAACATTGCGCCCAAGTTGTTGCCCATATTAGGTCTATGCGCCTTTGCTCATCGGCTCCACATGGGCCCCAAGGTAGGTGGCCCCAACGGCATCCCTCACTTTGCCTGAAATAAGCTGCCTACCCGTTACATTGTATCAGAAAGACAATAACGTTGTTACTATCATATACACTGAGTGTACAAAACATTAGGAACTTGCTCTTTTTATGACATAGGGTGTGTTCATAAATTCAATCTGGAGTGCCAGAGTGTGCTCAGAGTGCTCTCTGGCCGTTCGTTAATTCAGAGCGTTGTCAGATTTTCCATTCGTAAATTCAGAGCGTTTCGCTCTCGGAGCTTTCGGAGAGCACACTGGACCGTTGGCTGAGGAGTAGGGTTAATCCGAGCGTTCTGAGCTCACAACGGCAGTCAAGCACTGGCTAATGTTGGCTATCTTGCTAGCTACTTCCAGGCACAAATGAGAGAACACCTCACTAGCCCTAGCAGAGCTTGTTAGGCTGTTATCATGTTAAAGAGGAGACAGGTTAAAGAAGGATTTTTAAGTCTTGAGACAATTGAGACATGGATTGTGTGTGTGCCATTCATAACATATTTAAGTGCCTTTGAACGGTCTTTTTGCAGACTTCATCATTGGCAGTGTACAATATAATTTTTGTTGACATCACACAACAGAACACGCTCTGTAATGGTTTCACAAAAATAACTTGTGAACTTAGAACTATAAGGTTCTATCTGAAATAATATGATTCTGAGATAATTGGCTTTAAAGTATCGAACCCCCATTGGTTTAAATGGTGTCAGCAATTGTTTTTTTGTATTATTTTTTAACTTAACAACATGAATTGGGGTATTTGCAAACCACGCCCTCAAATATTAGAATGAACCCTCGCCTCAACATTGTGAAGTAGCTGGGCTTGGTGTGGGCTAGACTGTGTTGAGCTTGTGTAGGCTATCCTGTGTTGGGCTGGTGTAGGCCATTCTCGGCTAGCCTATGTTGGGCTGAAGTGGTATTGCTGTGGGCTAGCCCGTGCCCACCTTGCCCACCGAATACCCACATGGGGCCAATGTGGTGCGTAATTCTGAAGGAGTCAGGGGCAGCAGGGTAAATCACAGAATAAACGGTTTTGGAGGAAGTCGTGACAGCCAAACATGTAGAGAGTAGACAAAAAAGCACTAATCAGACCAAACATGTACAAGAGTAGACAAAACAAGGTGTGAACAGACCAAAACAAGGACAAAGCTTAATGAAATAAACACTAAAACTGATTTACCAGGTCAAACCAGGACAAACCAGGTCAAACAGGCACTAAACCAGATGAAAGCTAGTTATTTCCAAACACCACAAGGGAACACACTCCAAGAACCCAAGGTAGGGGGAAAATGAAGGATGCGACACAAGGCAGGGCCTTGCCACAACACATGGTGGGAAGTGGGAGGAAGATTAAGGATGTGACACCGGGAGAATATACTTTTTTTTTAAAATAGTACCCAGTAATAGAGGGCCGGGGTGGAAGAGGGAAAGGGGACGAGGGATTCTCTGAGGAGGGATATGTAATTTGAGTTTGGGCAGATTTCTTTTTCCCCCGCCCGGCTGCTGATGAGTCGTGGCTATGCACCGGTGGGGGCATAAGACCTCTAAAAGCTCACAGGTAGCCAGCGAGCATTCTAGTCCTGCCACCTACAGCCGGCGGCTCCCTGGCACACCGGACAAAAAAATCATCATGATGGAATAAAGGAGAGACTCAAGAAATATCAGCAGGGATTTCAGGCGGCAGAGATAGAGACAGGGAGGGATGGAGAAAGGGAAAGAAGGGAGGGAAGAAGGGAAAGTAGGAATCAGAGCGACCGTACGGACTGAGTGTTGGATAGGGTGGCTGTAGAGGCACTTGAGACGTCTGACTCCTGTTGCTATGGGTCACAGTAACATTGTGGGATTGAGGACTTGTGAGATTTTGTGATTTTGGTGTTTCTGGGGGAAGTAATCTTATTGAACCACTGTGTATATATGGGTGTCTGTAGGGGGCTTATAGGGGCCTGTGAAGTTGTGGGTTTGATTCCTGCATGGGTCACTAATACGTTGGTTAAATGACCATATTGTTATGTCATAGGTTGTTGTGTGTGTGGCCAGTTGATCATTTCAAATATTTGACCTTCAATTGTCTGTTAAGAGGCTAGCCAGGTTCTTAAAAATTATGTCTGTATTTTTTAAACCTTCAGTTTTTGACTCGAAATGTCAATGTATGACTCATACATATTGTATATAGTATCTGCAGTCCTCTCCCAGCAGAGAAAGCCACAGATTCCTTACATTCAAACCTGGCATCATTTACTGCACAGGATCTGCGCGCTCGTTCCTGTAATATAGTGCAGGGTTTTTTTCTGGATCAAAAAAGGGCTCAGGTGGTGGGCGTGGGTAGGGGGTGTGACAGGGGGCGTGGCAATAGGCAGAATATTAGAGGACATTTTAGAGGCCCCCATCTTGCCGGTGTAAAGAAATGTATAATATAAAAATATATACAGTATATACATACAGTACCAGTCAAAAGTTTGGACACACCTACTCATTGAAGGGTTTTTCTTTATTTTGTTAAACAAATCAAAATATATTTTATATTTGAGATTCTTCTAAGTAGCCACACTTTGCCTTGATGACAGCTTTGCACATTCTTGTCATTCTCTCAACCAACTTCATGAGGTAGGCACCTGGAAGGAGTTCCCACATATGATGAGCACTTGTTGAATGCTTTTCCTTCACTCTGCGGTCCAACTCATCCCAAAACATCTCAATTGGGTTGAGGTCGGGTGATTGTGGAGGCCAGGTCATCAGATGCAGCACTCCATCACTCTCCTTCTAAGTTCATTAGAAAAACCCATTGAATGAGTAGGTGTGTCCAAACTTTTGGACTGGTACTATATATATTATATAAATGTTTTTTACACTGTTTGTACTTTTCGGCCCGAAGAAAAACACTTAGGTGGCCCGCCCAAGGATTTCAATAGCAGAAAAGTCCCTGATGGAATGAACGCGCATTTTTTTAAGCAAGAGGGATTGGCTGGCTACTTGCTTAGCCATGTTGATAACAGCAAAAATAAAACAAATACAGTACATCAATCAAATAAATGCAACAGAAGTTTGACGTTAGATCTGTTCTTTTTACGAATGATCTTTGAAAGGCTTGTGTCTCTATTTCTCTCTCAGGGGGTGAGGGGTCGGCGGAGACTGGGCAGAAGGAGACGTCTACCTGTGACATCTGCCAGTTTGGGGCGGAGTGCGATGTGGACGCAGAGGACGTATGGTGAGTAAACGTCTGGGTTGGTGCACAGTTGGCCAACTCATTTAGGAGTAATAAACAGTAACAGTAGTATCTACTCACTCAGTGACCTTGTAGTTAGTGTCCACCCTGAGTTTGGAAGGTTTGGCGTTTGACCCCCAGTAGAGTCATACCAACTGTCACAGGCGGGATCTGAATCCTGGTCTCCCACGGGAGAAACCAAAGTCATTACCATTAAACCAAGAGGATTATGAAGTCGTAGCAAGTGCTACCTCATCATGAGACATGAGCAACCATGTACCTGACTCCGCTACACAAAGACTTTAATAATGGGACCCAATGCATCTCTGCTTGGCACTCAGCAATAAGTAAATGTATTGGGGTTGAACGAACAAATGAATGCATATATTTTTGTGTCTTGTCACATTTATGCAACCCTTAATTCCCTCATGGGACACCGTTTTGATTAGCAACACTTTTCAGTGCCACCTCAGTGCACTTCTTTTAACCATAGTTCAACCCCATTGACTTCTTCAGCCCCAGGAGATTGCTTTCAATGAGAATGACAGATCTAGAAAACACATTTCTTTGTGAAATTGGTCGGGTCGCCCAAAAAGTTACATATTGCAGCTTTAAGGCTGATGAATGTAAAATTGTAGTATAGGTATACAGTGTAAGAATATCTGAGTAGTAGGCCTATTTTTGACTCACATTAAGCATCTCCAATTCAAAGTTAAATCTAGAATTGGCTTCCTATTTCGCAACAAAGCATCCTTCACTCATGCTGCCAAACATGCCCTCGTAAAACTGACTATCCTACGGATCCTTGACTTCGGCGATGTCATTTACAAAATAGCCTCCAACACTCTACTCAGCAAATTGGATGTAGTATATCACAGTGCCATCCGTTTTGTCACCAAAGCCCCATATACTACCCACCATTGTGACCTGTACGCCCTCGTTGGCTGGCCCTCACTACATATTTGTCACCAAACCCACAGGCTCCAGGTCATCTATAAATCACTGCTAGGCAAATCCATGCCTTATCTTAGCTCATTGGTCACCATAGCAACACCCACCCATAGTATGTGCTCCAGCAGGTATATCTCACTGGTCATCCCCAAAGCCAACACCTCCTTTGGCCACCATTCCTTCCAGTTCTCTGCTGCTAATGACTGGAACGAACTGCAAAAATCTCTGAAGCTGGAGACTCTTATCTCCCTCACTAACTTTAAGCATCAGTTGTCAGAGCAGCTTACCGATCACTGCACCTGTACACAGCCCATCTGTAATTAGCCCACCCAACTACCTCATCCCCATATTGTTATTTATGTTGCTCATTTGCACCCCAGTATCTCTATTTGCACATCTTCTTCTGCACATCTATCACTCCAGTGTTAATACTAAATTGTAATTATTTTGCACTATGGCCTATTTATAGCCTTACCTCCATAACTTACTACATCTGCACACACTCTATATAGATTTTCTATTGTGTTATTGACTGTATGTTTTGTATATTCCATATGTAACTCTGTGTTGTTGTTGTTTTTATTGCACTGCTTTGCTTTATCTTGTCCAGGTCACAGTTGTAAATGAGAACTTGTTCTCAACTGGCTTACCTGGTTAAATAAAGGTTAAATAAAAAATTTAAATAAATAAAAGGGCTGACCCCATTTAGTCGACTGGTCGATTGTTTGGTCGATAGGCTGTAGGTCGACCGAGATTTCTATAGTCGAGCAGTAGCAAAAAAAATGAAATAAACGATTCATGGTGTAACAAGACTCCTGTCTGATTGGCTCCTGTCAGAGTGGACTATGGCACAGTCCATTACTCTAAAACGTGCTACTGAAATTTTATATGGTTATATTACGTGAGAACAATGGTGCAACGCTAATAAAACTAATATTATTTTATAACAGATGCACGTTCTCCTGCGTTGGATAGTGGTCGCTGTGCCCGGTTCTGAAACACATCAGTGCGCTGTTGAATTGGCGCCTTTTCCTAGACCATGTTGCTTTGTGCATAATAGCAAAGGTAACCAGCATAATGGTATTGAAACAATGCTGTGGAGGCAGCAGCGGAGTTAGGAAATGAGAAAACAGCCTTTGCCTTAATTGTCTAAGAAAAATGAGGAGAGACGAAACCCCAACTTAATTAGGTCTAGAATCTATTGCCTAACTGTTAAATGTGCCTGGCTTAATAAATCATCCATATATACACTTGAAGTCGGAAGTTTACATACACTTACGTTGGAGTCATTAAAATTTGTTTTTCAACCACTCCACAAATTTCTTGCTAACAAACTATAGTTTTGGCAAGTCGGTTGGGACATCTACTTTGTGCATGACACAAGTAATTTTTCCAACAATTGTTTACAGACAGATTATTTCACTTATAATTCACTGTATCACAATTCCAGTGGGTCAGAAGTTTACAAACACTAAGTTCACTGTGCCTTTAAACAGCATGGAAAATTCCAGAAAATTATGTCATGGCTTTAGAAGCTTCTGATAGGCTAATTGACATAATTTGAGTCAATTGGAAGTGTACCTGTGGATGTATTTCAAGGCCTACCTTCAAACTTAGTGCCTCTTTGCTTGACATCATGGGAAAATCTAAAGAAATCAGCCAAGACCTCAGATAAAAAATTGTAGACCTCCAAAAGTCTGGTTCATCCTTGGTAGCAATTTCCAAACGCCCGAAGGGACCATTTTCATCTGTACAAACAATAGTACGCAAGTATAAACACCATGGGACCACGCAGCCGTCATACCGCTCAGGAAGGAGACGCGTTCTGTCTCCTAGAGATGAACGTACTTTGGTGCGAAAAGTGCAAATCAAACCCAGAACAACAGCAAAGGACCTTGTGAAGATGCTGGAGGAAACAGGTACAAAAGTATCTATATCCACAATAAAACGAGTCCTATATCGACATAACCTGAAAGGCTGCTCAGCAAGGAAGAAGCCACTGCTCCAAAACCACCATAAAAAAGCCAGACTACGGTTTGCAACTGCACATGGGGACAAAGATCGTACTTTTTTGAATGGCCATCACAAAGCCCTGACCTCAATCCTATAGAAAATGTGTGGGCAGAACTGAAAAAGTGTGTGCGAGCAAGGAGGCCTACAAACCTGACTCAGTTACACCAGCTCTGTGAGGAGGAATGGGCCAAAATTCACCCAACTTATTGTGAGAATCTTGTGGAAGGCTACCTGAAACGTTTGACCCAAGTTAAACAATTTAAAGGCAATGCTACCAAATACTAATTGAGTGTATGTAAACTTCTGACCAACTGGGAATGTGATTAAAGAAATAAAAGCTGAAATAAATCATTCTCTCTACTATTATTCTGACATTTCACATTCTTAAAATAAAGTGGTGATCCTAACTGACCTAAGACAGGGAATTTTTACTAGGATTAAATGTCAGGAATTGTGAAAAACTGAGTTTAAATGTATTTGGCTAAGGTGTATGTAAACTTCCGACTTCAACAAGACAGATCCTTCTTCTGTTGCCTGTTTGAGTGTTTTTAATAGCCTACTGATTCTGTGAGCACCAAGCCTTCGTGAGCACCAACCACAACATATCGGATTAACAATTTCACAAATTCAGCTGTTTAAAATTTTTGGTATGCTATAATAAAGGCTTTACACTTTTTGTTTTGTTAGAACATCCTCTCTGGTATTGTTAATAATTGATTTAGTATTTGTTAACACTCTTCCAAGTTGTCAGAAAAAGTATAATAATAATAATAACCTCCTTTTTCCTTGATCTCCTTCTTATTGTTATTATTACAATTATTATTATGATCATCATTATTATAATAATAATAAGTAATGTCATTATCATTAGTAGGCTTAGTATAGCAGCCTTGTATAACCACCATCAATCTGTAGGCCTAGGAGCGCATCCTGTTTAGTCTTAATAGCGTAACGTACTTAGGCCTATATTTCAATACTTACACAGCACTGTATCAATCAATCATTCATTTGTTCATGTCATCACACAGCATACGAGTTATTCATGATTTGATATGCAATCAAGCATTTTCGTTTTTAAAATAAAATAACAAAGCGACCCTTGAATAATTAGTGTAAACAATAAATAAACTGTTCCAATTTGGAAATTGCATTCACAAATGAATGCGAAGAGTTTTGGTCCCTGCAGTAATAAAGGCTTTACAAAAATAACCCAAAAAACTCTCTGGTATGCTTATAATTATTTAGTGTTGTTTACATTGTTCCAAACGGTCAGAAAATTATACTGTAATCTAACAGCACCTGTTTGGCACACATAGTATGCACACAGCGCTTGCTCCTTACCTTATTTTTCTTGATCTCCAGTATTTTCCACAACTAGTCAAATTTATTCCACACATCTGACTTTCCCTTTACCTCCTGAGCAACCAGTAAACATTTCCCGTTTCGAGTTTATTTGTCACGTAATCTGCATCCATTTTGCTGTTACATGTGTTACGGTGTTCAGAGTTTGAAATAACAATTGTATTGATGTGATTATGATATGCTATAGGTCAGGCCCTATTGGTCACGTGCATGTGATGCATAAATGTGTCACATAAAGAGAGCAAGGGTTGAAGGGAAAGTTTTTCCTAAACAAATTAGGGATTTCGGTAACAGAACTTTTTAGTCAGAAATAGCTGTAATTATGTTGCAGCTTCAGCAACACAGACAGTTTGATAAACACTGTTGATGTTACAGCGCATTCGGAAATATTCAGACCCCTTGACTTTTTACAGACTTATTCTAAAATGGATTCAATTAAAATAAAATCCTCATCAATCTACACACAAAACCCCATAATGACAAAGTGAAAACAGGTTTTTAGAAATGTTTGCAAATGTAGTAAAAATAAAAAAAAACAGAAATACCTTATTTACATAAGTATTCAGACCCTTTGTTATCAGACTCAAAATTGAGCTCAGGTTGCATCCTGTTTCCATTGAGCATCCTTGAGATGTTTCTACAACTTGATTTTAGTCCTAAATTCAAATGATTGGACATGATTTGGAAAGGCACACACCTGTCTATATAAGGTTGACAGTGCATGTCAGAGCAGAAACCAAGCCATGAGGTCGAAGGAATTGTCCGTAGAACTCCAAGACAGGATTGTGTCGAGGCACAGATCTGGGGAAGGGTTCCAAAAAATGTCTGCAGCATTGAAGGTCCCCTAGAAAACAGTGGCCATCATTCATAGATGGAAGAAGTTTGGAACCACCAATACTGTTCCTAGAGCTGGCCGCTCGGCCGAACTGAACAATCGGGGGAGAAGGGCCTTGGTCAGGGAGGTGACCAAGAACCCGATGGTCACTCCGACAAAGCTCCAGACTTCCTCTGTGGCGATGGGAGAACCTTTCAGAAAGACAACCATATTTGCAGCACTCCACCAATCAGGACTTTATGGTGGAGTGGCCAGACGGAAGCCACTCCTCAGTAAAATGCACACGACAACCCACTTGGAGTTTGCCAAAAGGCACCTAAAGGACTCTCAGAGCATGAGAAACAAAATGCTCTAGTCTGATGAAACCAAGACTGAACTCTTTGGCCTGAATGCCAAGCGTCACGTCTGGAGGAAACCTGTTACCATCCCTACGGTGAAGCATGGTGGTGGCGGCATCATGCTGTGGGGATGTTTTTCAGGGGCAGGGACTGGGAGGCTGGTCAGGATCGAGGGAAAGATGAATGGAGCAAAGTACATAGAGATCCTTGATGAAAACCTGCTCCAGAGCGCTCAGGACCTCAGACTGGGGCGATGGTTCACTTTTCACCAGGACAACGACCCTAAGCACACAGCCAAGACAACACAGGAGTGGCTTCGGGACAAGTCTATGAATGTCCTTGACTGGCCCGGCCAGAGCCTGGACTTGAACCTAATCAAACATCTCTGGAGAGACCTGAAAATATCTGTGCAGTGGTGCTCCCCATCCAACCTGACAGAGCTTCAGTGGATCTGCAGAGAAGAATGGGGTAAACTCCCCAAATACAGGTGTGCCAAGCTTTTAGCGTCATACCCAAGAACACTCGAGGCTGTAATTGCCTGCAAAGGTGCTTCAACAAAGTACTGAGTAAAGGATCTGAATACTTATGTAAATATGATTTTTCAGGTGTTCTTTTATACATTTGCAAAAAAATCTAAAAACCTGTTTTTGCTTTGTCATTATGGTGTATTGTGTGTAGATTGATGAGGGGGGGGGGGGAACAATTTATTCAATTTTAGAATAAGGCTGTAACATAATACAATATGGAAAAATTCTGAATACTTTCCGAATGCACTGTGGTGGTCGCTGCAGCAGAGAGGCAAGAGAGACAATGGGTGCTAGTCACAGTCACTCGCTGTCATTTTTCATTAACACAGCGCAGCAAGTCTGAGCCCTGCCCGACACAGTCAAATAAATTGCAGTTGGACTCCCTCTAGTCATTTGTGTGTCTTAATTATTTCATCAAATAGTGCGCTTAAAGCACCAGACAAGCTCACTACATATAGTTGATTTGATTAAAACACATAGGATGTTATTGATTGGTCAACCAATATTTTTTTTAGTCAGGGACAGCCCTAAGGCCTGTTTGTTTGTGAAAGTGTGTTTCTGCAAGAAGAGAGTTGTCCCAAATTGAGTCCAGCTTCAGTGCTCCAAACACGCTTCACTGCCTCTGTTCCCTCCATTCTTTCTCCCTCTCTCCCTTTCTATCATTGTCTCTCTCCCCCTCTCTCTAACCCTCCCTTCCTCTGTCTGTGTCTCTCAGTGCTTTAGAAGGATTACTCTGAAATATGAGGCTGGGGATTATAAAAAGCAATGTTATATTCAACAGCAATAATGTATATAGCTGTGGCTTGGCACGACGTGGAGGTGGCTGGGGAAGGGTGCCGAGTGGTCTAGCCACTGAATGTGTGCCTGTGTGCGTTTCGTGTGTGTGTGTATGCATGCCTCCTTGTGCATTTGTATGTGTTTGTGTGTGACTGGAAGTGGCCTTTAGAGAACACGTACACAAGAAGCCTGCAGGCAATCACTGAGTTTAGATAGAGGGGAAATCACATGGCACTGTACAAATCAATAAGACACATCCTACTAAGAAGTGCTCTTCACACACAGACACACCAAGAAACATACACACTCTGGTAGACACAAATACTCTCCCTTTCTCTCTCCCTCTCGATACATGTTGGTAGGTGTGTGATTTTATTTGATTTTATTAGGATCTCTTTTAGCCCACCAAGGGCTAGTCTTCCAAGAGTCCTTAAGAAATGTAAAAACATTTAGAAAAATAACAAAAGCAAAGTAAAAACACAAATACACAAAGATCCACATTCCTATTTCCTTTACATATTATGTGTGTGTATCTGTGTGTGTGCACTGTGCATGTGTGTGTGTGTGTGTGTGTGTGTGTGTGTGTGTGTGTGTGTGTGTGTGCGTACGTGCACCCGTGAATGTGCGCCCGTGCATGCGTGTGCGTGTGTGTGTGTGTGTGTGAGGATGTGTTGACGCAGTGCAGTATTGCAGCATTAGTGCCTATTGTGGAGAAAGTGAGAGGCTCCATAAAAAATGCATGGCCTACAGACATTATCCTTGATGACCGCCACAGACGGCCACTTGGGATGGCAAGCCTCTGAAAGTATTGTCACTTCTGGGTCTTTGTGTGTGTGTGTGTGCGCGGTAATAATAGGAGGGGTATTCTGCATACGTTATGTGTTTGTTTGGGAGTGTGTGCGTGTAGGTCATGCATTTCATTACACAGTATGCATATCTATATTTCTATGTATGAGTGTCTTTGTGTGTTTGTGATTATGTGTGTGTTTGCACTATATACATTGGGCAGGGTGTAATGCAGGGCCAGTGCTCTGGGCCAGGAGAAAATAGAAAAGGAGCAGAGAATAGTGACAGATTTATAATTACAGTGTCTAATGTTCAGAGCTCAGCAAGAACTGTCTGGAGACTGCAATTTTGGTTTAATTTCGAACAAGAGCTCACAGTTTCCCTTCAGAATTCGACGTACAGTGTTATGGATGAACGTCTATTTTTTACGCATTAATTCCGCGTGGTTACAGGGTTAATTCCGAGTAGTTACATGGTTAATTCCGAGTGGTTAAAGGGTTAAAAAAGAAACAACTCAAACGTTAAGTTTAGGTATTCATTCCGAGTGGTTAAGGTTAGGGCTATGGTTTGGGAAATGCTTAAAACAAAATAATTAAAAACAATGCACTATTATCATCAAGTGTTTTCACAGCTTGTTAGAGCATTGTGAACTGTGGTGGCGCAGTTGTCTAAGCAGCACACGCTGGCTCTGAGCCTCACGAGTTCAATCCTAATACTGGACACTTGTTTTTCATTTTTAGGGTGAGAGCCGAGGAACACATATATCAACATTCTGGGGACTTTTTAAAACGTACAAAATTGCTGTCTATTTCTAGTGATCAGTCTGGTAATTTCTGCTGAACATGCTCACTGTCGTTCAAATGGAGATCGCATGCACACAGTCAGTCAGTCATGCACATACAGTACACACACACACACACACTACACACTCACATGCCTGTTCTGTTTAATATTTTGTCCATGACTTTTACTTTATGTCTCAGTCAGAAAGTGTTTGTGTGCATTTGAGCGTGTAGTGTGTGTGTGTGTGTGTGTGTGTGTGTGTACTGTATGTCTACCACAAATAAACAAGCTGAATTGTTTTATGCAAATAAAGCAATAATTAATACACACACAAGCATACACAGACACATGCACAGACACATACACACACTCCCTCTCACACACATACATGTGAAAAAAATGTACACAATAGACTACACAGCGATTTACTGAATAAAAAATTCTGAAGAGCTTTACAACTCCAATTCTCCACCACTCTATTCTTTATTTGGTGTGACCGCTACTGATGTGTCCCATAATTTTTTGCGGCAGGTGCGTGTGTAACATTGACTGCTCCCACATCAGCTTCAACCCGGTTTGCGCCTCAGACGGCCGTTCCTATGACAACCCCTGCCAGGTGAAGGAGGCGTCGTGTCAGAAGCAGGAGAGGATCGAGGTCAAATACCTGGGCCACTGCCAAGGTGAGATAGCAACTGTTACACAAAACTTCGTTCTATATGTTCTTTGTCTTCTTCTTCTTCTTCTTCTTCTTCTTCTTCTTCTTCTTCTTCTTCTTCTTCTTCTGTGTCTTCTTCTTCTTCTTCTTCTTCTTCTTCTTCTTCTTCTTCTTTCTTTGTCTTCTTCTTCTTCTTTGTCTTCTTCTTTGTCTTCTTCTTCTTCTTCTTCTTCTTCTTCTTCTTCTTCTTCTTCTTCTTCTTCTTCTTCTTCTTCTTCTTCTTCTTCTTCTTCTTCTTCTTCTTCTTCTTCTTATTCGGTATGTTATTACCGATACCGAATATGTGTGCTGTATTGGAGGTTTCAAACTCCTTACAACTGTCAAAAACTCCTCTCACAGATATTGACGTGGAACCATATCTGTCCTTGAATTGGGGCCTTTGTCATTTTTTGACGAACAATTGATCCAGGTCAAAGCAATACAACATAACCACGTCAACAAAACACCATCATTATGTTATAACAGCAACCCATTCACCAATAATCTATATTTTTCCTCCCAGCAATTCTTTATTATTATTATTATTATTATTATTATTATTATTTATTTAAAATTTTTTCGGGGGTAGATCAGCTTTAATATTGCAAATAGATTGTAGCTTCCATGAATGTAATTGTCTGCATCACTTCCAGTCCCCCATATGTTTTTTTCCCCCGCAAATATATATATATATATAAACTGCCGGTCAAAAGTTTTAGAAGACCTACTCATTCAAGGGATAATATAGATAGTGAAGACATCAAAACTATGAAATAACACGTATGGAATCATGTCGTAAACAAAAAAAAGTGTTCAACAAATCAAAATGTATTTTATATTTGTGATTCTTCAAATAGCCACCATTGATGACAGCTTTGCACACTCATGGCATTCTCTCAACCAACTTCATGAGGTAGTCACCGGTAATGCATTTAACAGGTGTGCCTTGTTAAAGTTAATTTGTGGAATTTCTTTCCTTCTTAATGCGTTTGAGCCAATCAGTTGTGTTGTGACAAGGTAAGGGGATTTATACAGAAGGTAGCCCTATTTGGTAAAAGACCAAGTCCATATTATGGCAAGAACAGCTCAAATAAGCAAAGAGAAACAACAGTCCATCATTACTTTAAGACATGAAGGTCAGTGAATACGGACAATCTCAAGAACTTTGAAAGTATTTTGCAGTCGCAAAAACCATCAAGCGCTATGATGAAACTGGCTCTCATGAGGACCGCCACAGGAATGGAAGAATCAGAGTTACCTTTGCTACAGAGGATAAGTTCATTAGAGTTACCAGCCTCAGAAATTGCAGCCCAAATAAATGCTTCACAGAGTTCAAGTAACAGACACATCGCAACATCAACTGTTCAGAGGAGACTGCGTGAATCAGGCCTTCATGGTTGAATTGCTGCAAAGAAACCACTACTAAAAGACACCAATAAGAAGAAGAGGCTTTCTTGGGCCAAGAAACACGAGCAATGGACATTAGACCGGTGGAAATTTGTCCTTCGGTCTGGAGTCCAAATTCCAACCACCATGTCTTTGTAAGACGCGGTATGGGTGATCGGATAATCTACGCATGTGTATTTCCCACCGTAAATCATAGAGGAGGAAGTGTTATGGTGTGGGGGTGCTTTGCTGGTGACACTGTCTGTGATTTATTTAGAATTCAAGGCACACTTAACTAGTATGGCTACCACAGTATTCTGCAGTGATACGCCATCCCATCTGGTTTGGGCTTAGTGGGACTATCATTTGTTTTTCAACAGGACAATGACCCACACACCTCCAGGCGGTGTAAGGGCTATTTTACCAAGAAAGAGAGTGATGGAGAACTGCATCAGATGACCTCCACAATCCCCCAACCTCAACCAAATTGAGATTGTTTAGGATGAGTCGGACCGCAGAGTGAAGGAAAAGCAGCCAACAAGTGCTAAGCATATGTGGGAACTCCTTCAAGACTGTTGGAAAAGCATTCCAGGTGAAACTGGTTGAGACAATGCAAAGAGTGTGCAAAGCTGTCATCGAGGCAAAGGGTGGCTATTTGAAGAATCTCAAATATAACATATATTTTCATTTGTTTAACACATTTTTCGTTACTACATGATTCCATATGTGTTATTTCATAGTTGCAAAGAAAAAGACATAACTCAGACTGGCCAATAAAAATAAAAGATTAAGATGGGCAGTCTGAGATATGGCTTTTTCTTTGCAACTCTGCCTAGAAGGTCAGCATCCCGGAGTCACCTCTTCACTGTTAACGTTGAGACTGGTGTTTAATGAAGCTGCCAGTTGAGGACCTGTGAGGTGTCTGTTTCTCAAGCTAGACACTCTAATGTATTTGTCCTCTTACTCAGTTGTGTACCGTGGCCTCCCACTCCCCTTTCTATTCTGGTTAGAGCCAGTTTGCGCGGTTTTAGTCTTTTAGCCTTTAAAAAAAATACACTTGGATTAGCAAACAGAACGTGCCATTGGAACACAGGACTGATGGTTGCTGATAATGGGCCTCTGTACGCCTATGTAGATATTCCATAAAAAATCAGCTGTTTCCAGCTACAATAGCCATTTACAACATTAACAATGTTGACATTGTATTTCTGATCAATTTGATGTTATTTTAATGGACAAAAAAATTGCTTTTCTTTAGAAAACAAGGACATTTCTAAGTGACCCCAAACTTTTGAACGGTAGTGAGTATATATATATATATATACATACAGTGGGAAGAACAAGTATTTGATACACTGACGATTTTGCAGGTTTTCCTACTTACAACGCATGTAGAGGTCTGTAATTTTTATCATAGGTACACTTCAATTGTGAGAGACGGAATCTAAAACAAAAATCCAGAAAATCACATTGTATGATTTGTAAGTAATTAATTTGCATTTTCTTGCATGACATAAGTATTTGATACATCAGAAAAGCAGAACTTAATATTTGGTACAGAAACCTTTGTTTGCAATTACAGAGATCACACATTTCCTGTAGGTCTTGACCAGGTTTGCACACACTGCAGCAGGGATTTTGGCCCAGTCCTCCATACAGACCTTCTCCAGATCCTTCAGGTTTCGGGGCTGTGGCTGGGCAATACGGACTATCAGCTCCCTCCAAAGATTTTCTATTGGGTTCATGTCTGGAGACTGGCTAGGCCAGGCACTCCTTAGTTGCCCTGGCTGTGTGTTTCAGGTCGTTGTCATGCTGGAAGACCCAGCCACGACCCATCTTCAATGCTCTTACTGAGGGAAGGAGGTTGTTGGCCAAGATCTCGCGATACATGGCCCCATCCATCCTCCCCTCAATACGGTGCAGTCGTCCTGTCCCCTTTGCAGAAAAGCATCCCCAAAGAATGATGTTTCCACCTCCATGCTTCACGGTTGGGATGGTGTTCTTGGGGTTGTACTCATCCTTCTTCTTCCTCCAAACACGGCGAGTGGAGATTAGACCAAAAAGCTCGATTTTTGTCTCATCAGACCACATGACCTTCTCCCATTCCTCCTCTGGGTCATCCAGATGGTCATTGGCAAACTTCAGACGGGCCTGGACATGCGCTGGCTTGAGCAGGGGGACTTTGCGTGCACTGCAGGATTTTAATTCATGACGGCGTAGTGTGTTACTAATGGTTTTCTTTGAGACTGTGGTCCGAGCTCTCTTCAGGTCATTGACCAGGTCCTGACGTGTAGTTCTGGGCTGATCCCTCACCTTCCTCGATGCCCCACGAGGTGAAATCTTGCATGGATCCCCATACCGAGGGTGATTGACCATCATCTTGAACTTCTTCTATTTTCTAATAATTGCGCCAACAGTTGTTACCTTCTCACCAAGCTGCTTGCCTATTGTCCTGTAGCCCATCCCAGCCTTGTGCAGGTCTACAATTTTATCCCTGATGTCCTTACACAGCTCTCTGGTCTTGGCCATTGTGGAGAGGTTGGAGTCTGTTTGATTGAGTGTGTGGACAGGTGTCTTTTATACAGGTAACGAGTTCAAACAGGTGCAGTTAATACAGGTAATGAGTGGAGAATATTTTTTACATTACATTTTAGTCATTTAGCAGACGCTCTTATCCAGAGCGACTTACAGGAGCAATTAGGGTTAAGTGCCTTGCTCAAGGGCACATTGACAGATTTTTCACCTGGTCGGCTCGGGGATTAGAACCAGCGACCTTTCGGTTACTGGCACAACGCTCTTACCCACTAAGCTACCTGCCGCCCTCGAACAGGAGGGCTTCTTAAAGAAAAACTAACAGGTCTGTGAGAGCCGGAATTCTTACTGGTTGGTAGGTGTTCAAATACTTATGTCATGCAATAAAATGCAAATTAATTACTTAAAAATCATACAATGTGATTTTCTGGATTTTTGTTTTAGATTCCATCTCTCACAGTTGAAGTGTACCTATGATAAATATTACAGACCTCTACATGCTTTGTAAGTAGGAAAACCTGCAAAATTGGCAGTGTATCAAATACTTGTTCTCCCCACTGTATATACACACATATACATACATATACACATACATATAAATACATATATACAGTGGGGAATTTATTTATTTAGTCAGCCACCAATTGTGCAAGTTCTCCCACTTAAAAAGATGAGAGAGGCCTGTAATTTTCATCATAGGTACACGTCAACTATGACAGACAAAATGAAAAAAAAAAATCCTGAAAATCACATTGTAGGATTTTTAATGAATTTATTTGCAAATTAAGGTGGAAAATAAGTATTTGGTCAATAACAAAAGTTTCTCAATACTTTGTTATATACCCTTTGTTGGCAATGACACAGGTCAAATGTTTTCTGTAAGTCTTCACAAGGTTTTCACGCACTGTTGCTGGTATTTTGGCCCATTCCTCCATGCAGATCTCCTCTAGAGCAGTGATGTTTTAGGGCTATCGCTGGGCAACACAGACTTTCAACTCCCTCCAAACATTTTCTATGGGGTTGAGATCTGGAGACTGGCTAGGCCACTCCAGGACCTTGAAATGCTTCTTACGAAGCCACTCCTTCGTTGCCCAGGCGGTGTGTTTGGGATCATTGTCATGCTGAAAGATCCAGCGACGTTTCATCTTCAATGCCCTTGCTGATGGAAGGAGGTTTTCACTCAAAATCTCACGATACATGGCCCCATTCATTCTTTCCTTTACACGGATCAGTCGTCCTGGTCCCTTTGCAGAAAAACAGCCCCAAAGCATTATGTTTCCACCCCCATGCTTCACAGTAGGTATGGTGTTCTTTGGATGCAACTCAGAATTCTTTGTCCTCCAAACACGACGAGTTGAGTTTTTACCAAAAAGTTATATTTTGGTTTCATCTGACCATATGACATTCTCCCAATCCTCTTCTGGATCATCCAAATGCACTCTAGCAAACTTCAGACGGGCCTGGACATGTACTGGCTTAAGCAGGGGGGTACGTCTGGCACTGCAGAATTTGAGTCCCTGGCGGCGTATTGTGTTACTGATGGTAGGCTTTGTTACTTTGGTCCCAGCTCTCTGCAGGTCATTCACTAGGTCCCCCCGTGTGGTTCTGGGATTTTTGCTCACCATTCTTGTGATCATTTTGACCCCACGGGGTGAGATCTTGCGTGGAGCCCCAGATCGAGGGAGATTATCAGTGGTCTTGTATGTCTTCCATTTCCTAATAATTGCTCCCACAGTTGTTTTCTTCAAATCAAGCTGCTTACCTATTGCAGATTTAGTCTTCCCAGCCTGGTGCAGGTCTACAATTTTGTTTCTCGTGTCCTTTGACAGAGGTGTCCTTTGACAGTGTGACTGTTTGAGGTTGTGGACAGGTGTCTTTTATACTGATAAGAAGTTCAAACAGGTGCCATTAATACAGGTAACAAGTGGAGGACAGAGGAGCCTCTTAAAGAAGAAGTTACAGGTCTGTGAGAGCCAGAAATCTTGCTTGTTTGTAGGTGACCAAATATTTATTTTCCACCATAATTTGCAAATAAATTCATAAAAAATCCTACAATGTGATTTTCTGGAGAAAAAAAATCTCAATTTGTCTGTCATAGTTGACGTGTACCTATGATGAATATGACAGGTCTCTCTCATCTTTTTTAGTTTGAGAACTTGCACAATTGGTGGCTGACTAAATACTTTTTTTTCCCCACTGTAGTACATTTATCATAATTCTGTTGTAATCCAGAGAGGTTAGAAAATGTATCTATATCCTCTATGAGGCTGTGGAGGGATTCAAGTTGTGGATTGAAAAGAAAACATGAATCATCAGTTTACAATCGCACCTTTGTTTTTAAGCCCTGGATATCTAATCCCTTGATATTATTGTTGGATCTGATTTTAATAGCTAACATTTCGATGGCCATAATAAATAGATATTATGTGGACCAGCAGTTCTTACAATGAACCAAGGGTACTGTGGTTGGGTACTCTGACAGCAAAATATATATATATATTTTCAAATGGATCAATAAAGATAGTATTATATTGAATTGATGGTTTTTTGACAGTTATCCAACAATTCAACCTTTTTTCAACTGAACATTAGATGGCTTGGATCATTTGAATAAGATAAATCATGATCCTATAACAATCTATAAAACAAAATAAAAATAATTACTTTAAAAATTCTAACATATAAAGATGACATAATATATAGAGCATATATGTAGAGTATATAGTTATTATTATAATCATTTTAATTATAAATATTGTAATCCACTCATGACACACGCAGAGATGAGAGAATTGATCAGAGAAATTAGAGAACTCCCAAGTGAAGTACTTTACTACCCTAGCTACATTTTTGTGTTTTAGCCTGTCATTTTGTCCCTAGCATGTGCTGATCTAGGATCTGTTTTGCCTGTTACATCACAATGAATAAAAATGAACAGGGGTGGCATGTAGCCTGGCGGTTATAGAGGAGAGGCGAGCCAGCAACCGTAGCGTTGCCAGTTTGAGTCCTGGGTCTGACGGGAAAAATTTGCCAGGAAGTGAGCTGGCAACTGGACAGTTGCTGGTATAACATCCTAGATTCCATTACTTGCTGATGTGTCCTTGAGCAAGGCACTTAACCCCCCACAACAACAGCTTGCCGGGAAGCCCCTCATGTCAAAACTTGTCGTAGGGGTTGGGTTAAAAGCGGAAGACACATTTTCGGTAGGACCTTGTATGCAAGTGCTCTTAATCAGCACTCTTACTCTGAGACACTAATGTGACTGCCTTCTCAGGTGACATCATGACAGGGACCAAAGCTGGAGACGGACATTATGCCAGGAAAGACTACTCAGGTAGGTGCGCATGTGTGTGTGTATCAGATCTGTGAATGATGGCAGACGGGAGCGGACAACTTAGGGTGTATTCCAAATGGCACTTTTGAAAAAAAGTAATGCACGCAGTCAGTGGTGGATAAATGCTCATAAATGTAATTTACACCGTTTTTTAATCTGATGAACAGCAATTACGCTATTACACTAAATTAGTGAGACTCACCTTTACCCTTTCAATCCTATATTTTTTTTATCCCTAGCATTCACTGCTTCTGTGCTCTGTGCTCTGTGCTTTGTGTGTGTGTGTGTGTGTGTGTGTGTGTGTGTGTGTGTGTGTGTGTGTGTGTGTGTGTGTGTGTGTGTGTGTTGTGTGTGTGTGTTGTGTGTGTGTAGAAGAGAAGCCGGACCAGAGAGGGGAGGTGGCCATAGGCTTGTACATTCCCTGTCCCGAGCACTACAAGAACTACTGTGTCCACGGAGAGTGTGAATACCCCAACATACTGTCTGTGCCGTCCTGCAGGTACACACACACACACAAAGAGCCATACTGACACACATATACACACAAGACACATACCAGTACATACTGACACACATACAACCTCAATCCCCCCCCCCCCCGCCCCCCTCCCCGCCCGCCCACACACACACGCACCCTTGATCACCTGTGCCACTTCCAGCCCTTAGGCTGAGTAATAAGCCTGTGTCCAGACCAAGCCCATTAACCTGTGGGGTCAGTGGGATTGTGCTGCAGTCACAGTCACAGGGCTTTAGCCTCTTCTCATCTCTCCCCTCACAGCAACACGGCTGTAACCCCGTAGCTCTTCAAGCCTACAGGCCCTGAATACTGAATAGTGGTGATAGTGAACTTGTATGGGGAAAATAGGCGAAGGTCTCTGGCACCATCTGCTGTATGGAGAGAGAGAGAGAGAGAGAGAGAGAGAGAGAGAGAGAGAGAGAGAGAGAGAGAGAGAGAGAGGAGAGATAGGAGTAGTAGGAGAGATAGAGATAGTAGGAGAGATAGGGAGATAGTAGGAGAGATAGAGAGATAGTAGGAGAGATAGAATGAGAGAACTAGTGAAGGTTGAGGGGATGCAAGAGTGGACTGACTGTCCCCTCACCCTAATGTGTCCCACTGAGACTGTGTCCCACTGACTCATTTGTTCTGGCATAGCATCGAACATAGGTGTGTGTGTGTGCACAGAGCAGGGTGATGCAGGTGTTGGTAGGTAATGACCTCCCCAGAGAAAGAGAGAGAAGGACAGACTGATTTAAATTGGACCACTTTTAGACCAGGTCCAGAGAGACAGAGGTCCTCTAGATCACTCCCACACACACTCCCACACGCACACACACACACACACAGCCTTGTTTATACCTGACACTAACTTGATCCTTTGTCCTGATCTTGTCTACATGCTGATTGTGCCCACATGATCAGATATGCGTCTACACGTGGTATTAAAATGCGTCTCTCATCCGTCCACTGTGTTCGCATTGTGACCAGATTTCCTGGTACCTCCCTGTAGGCAAATTATTTGACGGATATTCTTTAAAAAATCATATTTATTTATTGTCATAAGTCAATGATTTTAGAGGGCGGAATAATTATGATTTGCATGGTTTCACTGTCCAGATCCATCATGTTAGCAGCAGGTATGAACAGGGGTTTACAGTTACTTCAAACACATACAGTCTAAAGACACACACACGTAACCTCAGATACACATCACCCTGTAAGCTATGGTGACCTCAAACACGTACACAACACGCACACACAACACACACACACACACACACACACACACACACACACGTACCATGTACAAAAACTAACATCAACCTGCGTGTGTGTATGTCAGCTGTCACTCAGGCTTCAGCGGGCCCCAGTGTGACACTAAGGAATACAATGTGCTCTACGTGGTCCCCGGCTCTGGCAAGCTCCGCTATGTCCTCATCGCCTCCATCATCGGAGCTCTGCAGGTGGCCATCATCTGTGTGGTGGTACTCTGTATTACCAGGTAGGACACACACACACACACACACACAAACACATGCATACACATACAGTACACACACACATACACATGCATGTACATACATATACACCCACGTTGCGCAAACGCACACACACTTATGTGAGCAGGCATAGGGTACCTTGACCATCCACAGGGGGTGATTGGGGGTTGAGTAACCAAAGCAGATTGAGAACCACTACATTATGCAACACTTATGTGTATACTCTCACACACACACAGAAACACACACACAAACACTTTCCCGAAAGCAATTGTATCCTAATATTCATACTGCTATCCATATGAGACAGGAAACAGATGACATTACCTCATTACATTATATATGTATACGTGCACACTTACTCCCACAGAGGATTACATACAGTACATGCACAAACAGAGATCCATTTTGGGGATGTCGTGATGAGAGGGAGTGCATCATAGGGGATTACGTTCAGGTGCTGCGGAGGGAACGCAGAAAGGTCATCCTGTTTACCTCTCGCACCACAGGGAGGATGGAGAAGAACTCTGCTCCCACTGTGCTCTCTCTCCTCTCCTCTCTCGGGCTCTCTCGGCTGCTCAGCTCTCTCTCTCTCTCTCTCTCTCTCTCTCGGGGCTTCTCTCTCTCTCTCTCTCTCTCTCTCTCTCGCATTCACACAACACCACACAACACACACACACACACACACACACACACACACACACACACACACACACACACACACACACACACACACACTCAGCCACTCAGTCAGCAGCCTTCCACCCCCGGGCTGACCTATGCAAAACATGACATTTAATAAAGTTTTTAAAAGCTATCACCAAGATGAAACTCCTCCTGATAGAGAGAGAGGGAGAGACAGAGGGAGAAATTAGAGAGAGAAAGGTGGGAGAGAGGGAGAAATTAAAGAGATAAATGAGAAACAGAAAATGAATGAGAGAGACAATAGAAGAGACGGAAAGAATTAAAGAGGGAGTAAGACAGAAAGAGAATGAAAGAGAGAGACAGAGAAAAGGAGACCGAGATGAAGGAGAGGGAGAATGTGTTAGAGAAAGTTACAGACTGTCTATGAAGCTCAATTACTTTCATTTGTTTCCCTATAAACCTCTGAATTCAACGCAGTTTAAACAAATTCCCAGCGCTTCTATAGCAAACGACACACATTTTACGACTCACTCACTTTAGTACATTAGGATTTATTTAACACCTTTACCCTCACAATTCCCCTGTATTCTAAATGCACAAATATCATTTCATGTATTATTTTATTTATACAGGGAAAAAATAGTAAAAAAATACCATGTGTACAGTTAATAAACATCTTCAAACGAATAGGCCGAAGACCGATCTATGTATTTTGGGAAGAATATTTAACATGACCATTCATTTATAGAGCCTTTTGTTCAAAGTATATCAACAAAGTTGTGCTTCATTATGGGAATGACGTCTCCCCATTTTCTACATTCCAGGCTGCTTAATCAAATTTGTGTTAATTGTTGAAATTCTGTGTTTAATGGTTTGCATCATTAATCCCTAGGGGCATTCATTTTACAGCATTAGAGATGCAAATTATAGAACGTGGTACAGAATATTTTGAATAAGTACATAATAGCTCCAACCATTTCATATCTATCAAAGTAGTAGAAAAATAGAAACATCAACAGGAGTTGCAATATAATTGGGCTGTCAGAGTTATTCAGTAAAGTCAAGTTAACCTTTTGTCATTTTAGTGCCCCCCAAAAAGAATTCCACCATTAATTGCATTGTCTGAAAGAGTTGAAAAAACACAGAAATCATTCCAAAATACATAATCTATACAGATGAAGTTGACAATGCCATGTAAAAACAAGTTGACATTGAGGTTAATTAAAGTGTGCTTTCTCAATTTACCCAATTTTGCTAACTGTTACTTTAGACAAAAAAAAACATGTTTGACAGCCATGTATATAATGCATTATAAGTCATCTTTTGTTTCAGAAATATATGTCCTTTCTCGACGATTAAAGGGAACATTGTCCTTTAGATTCGTACAGACTCAATAACTTAGCGGATTTCTTCCACTTGAACTTATTTATTTGGATTGAACAAGTGCTCTCTGGTAATAATACATTGTTGGCAGATAAGCTTTTATTTAGATTTCTCACTTCTCTCTATGGACTTGCATGTCATTGACCACGCCACTAGCGTTTCCATAGCAATCCAATGCCCTTCTTGGCTTATTAATTTATCTTCAAGTATATGAGGAACCCAGTTATTAAAACAATTGGGGTTCAATAAATAAGAACTATTTCTTTATAATGAAAAAATATCAAGGCCTTGGATACTGAACATAGGGCAAATGACATAGCATTCTTTCTCTCTCTCTCTCTCTGTCTCTCTCTTCTCCTATCCTCTACTCCACTTCCTGTCTGGACAGGAAGTGCCCGCGGAGCAACAGGGTCAATCGGCAGAAGCAGAATGCAACCCACTACAGCTCGGAGAACACCATGCGCGCCTCCACCCGCCTCATCTGACTGAGCCGCCCCACGATGGGGGAACCCCAAAGACCCGCACCGCTCTGGGTCCAAGTTGCACCATAGACACAGATCTAGGAACAGCTTTACCCTTCTTTCCTACAATCCCAACCTGAATTAACTATAAGGGAGTGGGTGGTGGGAGGGGGACAAAACGCGAAACTGACCTTAGATCGGCATCTAGGGGCAACTTAATCCTGCTCCACTGGAGACCAGCGGAGGAGGTCGCGCAATCCCCGTCTCGCCGACCCCGATCATGAGTAATTGAACAATGGGGATTGGGGGGGAGCGGTGGGGGGGGGGGGGGGGGGGCTATAGAAGTGGGCTAGCTGATGTTCGTGTGGGATGTTGGTTGTTTTTAGGGGTAGAACCAATGGGGGATTAGGGGCGGGAGGGGGCTACACGTGATGCCTTGCACCTGAGGTATAGGTCACCAAGAGGAAACTATGGTACTACAGTACAGCTCTGTTTGGTTATGTATTACTGGGTCTATTTCCAATAGTTATTACATTGTCTTGGTGGGGTCTTTTTTCTGTAATGTAAATAAATAATTTATATCATGAAAAGTAACCTTGGCCCATCTACAATATTGCTGTCGGGTGTCAATTTTCACATTTATGGTTAAGATAATGTCACTCTCAAGAGGAAACATACATTCTTAAGAGGAAAGAGACAACAGGGTACGTTTGTCTGAGATGAAAGGTATATTTTCAGATCTTTACTTTTGGATCTATCATCAATTCAGGGCCTAGTGGGACGCAGGTGAGTGAACTTCCCAGCAATCAGTGATATTAATTGATCAATTAACTATCAGATAGAAAAGAAAACCTGAGTTTCAACGTTGTGGAACATTGAAGATAGAAATGTCATGAACTTTGTCTTACAGTTGACACATGATGACTCTTTATTTTGATTTTTATTTGATTTGATTAGGATCCCCATTAGCTGTTGCAAAAGCAGCAGCTACTATTCCAGGGGTCCACACAGAACATGAAATAATACAGAACATGAATAGACAAGAACAGCTCAAGGACAGAACTACATACATTTATTTTAAAGGCACACATAGCCTACATATCAATACATATACACAAACTATGTAGGTCAAATAGGGGAGAGGCGTTGTGCCGTGAGGTGTTGCTTAATCAGTTTTTTGAAACCAGGTTTGCTGATTATTTGAGCAATATGACATGGAGTTCCATGCAATAATGGCTCGATATAATACTGTACGCTTTCTTGAAATTGTTCTGGATTTGGGACTGTGAAAAGACCCCTGGTGGCATGTTTGGTGGAGTAAGTGTGTGTGTCAGAGCTGTGTGTAAGTTGACTATGCAAAATATTCTAAATGTCAGAGAAGCATGTTAGTTCTACATAACATATTTCTATCTGAACTTTCCACGAATTTGGCCCTTGAAGGCCATAATTGATGGTGAGGAGCTGTCTTGCCACGGGGAGGTGCTATTTCACCATATGCCTACTCCACTACAAGAAAACGGAGTTACAGCAACTGAGTTACAGTATCAGTACCTTGCTACTGATGTGCTATGGCAGGTGATGTGTTTTTTACACACACACACACACACACACACACACACACACACACACACACACACCACACACAAATTATATACACATGTCCAGCTGACAGATTTAAAATATCATACAGGTAAGTTGAAAAGTCTATGATGTTGTATTGTACACACCACTGTGGAGACATGTTCACTATGGTCTCACTGGCCAGGTTCTGTTGTGTTCAAAGTTGAGCTGAGCTGATCAGGAGTAGTTGTGGTCAATGTCAGGGTCACCCAAAGGCTACACCGCCAGACTGCAGGATTCCACACAAATTCCACAGAGACAGAGAGAACGGAGAGGAGGGGTGGGGGGGCACTTCCCAGTTCACCCCACAGCCGAGCATGTGGAATCGTCTTTTCCTGTCCTCTCCCCTCGTTTGGGGGAGGGGGATAAGGGAGGAGCAGGAAACTCAGAATGTCTGCATGTGTGACCAGATATACGCCATGGGAATGTTATCACACCGGGACCAGGATTCCACAAACTGATTTATGTTGTTAGCTTTCACTTCAGGAAGGTCAACAGTGTTGAATTAGATGTTTGTCCTCTTCACAGGTTACATAAATTATTGATTGTAATGATTGTCGTGTAATGTAGCATTTTACACGTAGGACGTGATTATTCCTAACAATCTGGTTTAGTGATAGGGAGAAAATGTATCTGAGAAATGTTCGATTTTATCATGGTATGTGAGGATTAAATGTAAAATTGTCGCAGCGAATATGAAAACAGACACATCGCCAAGTTTGCTGATGACTTCCGTCATCGTCATTCTACTGCAGGATGGAGAGTCCATCCGCTCCGGCGCCGTTACAATGCATGGGCCTGTGGTAGATTACTTTCGGTCATGGTGCAACAACTGCTTCCTCCAACCGAATGTCTCCAAAACTAAAGACATGGCCATTGACTTTAGAAGGCAGCCACGGAACCCCTCACCCACTGTGGTCATGGGGAGTGACATTGAGCTGGTCACTACCTACAAGTACCTGGGAACGGTGCTGGACAACAAGTTGAAGTTTGAGGAGAACACAGATGCCATCTGTAAAAAGGGACAGCAGCAACTTTTCTTTCTGAGAAAGATGAACTAATCTAATGTCATCAAGAGAATGATGACACTGTTTTACATGAGTTTTCTAAATTAGTGTTGATGTTGTCGATGGTGGCCAGGTTTGTCAATCTTAAAGTTGGCTAGACATGGTGGTGGTAAAGGTGGCCGGCAAGGTCATCGGGGTGCAACAGGCACAGCTTTCAGAGACATTCAAAAAGCAAGTGGTGAGGAGAGCTAAAAGTATCCTAGACTGTCCTGATCATCCCCTCTTTGCCAATTTTAAGTTCCTCCCCTCGAGTCGACTCGCCAATTCAGACTTCCCAAACTCAAGAGCAACAGATCCAATAACTCTTTTATCAGGCAGTAAACTTTCTAAATCTGAACATGAAACACTTTTGCACAATGACTGCTCCTTTTGAATGATCTAAGACTGCAACCGATCTTATTATTTATTTATCTTATGTGTATATCTGTTGTATGGTTGTCTCTGTTTTTAATGTTGTTTTTATTGTTGAACCCTGAGTGCACAACACATTTCCTAATTGGGACAATAAAGATATTGATTGAAATTCAAAACTAATCCAACTTTATTTAAAGTGCCTTTAAATAGCCTGTCAGTCCTTAAAGTCCAATTTATAGGCCTAACTGTTGCTAACATGCGTCCTTTGTCCTGATCTTGTCCACATTCTGATTGTGGCCACATTTCTAGACAGGTGTAGACTATTAATGCATTGTTATCTGATTGTATACCCCACAATACCCCATAATGACAAAGCAAAAACAGGTTTTTAGAATTTTTTGCTACTTTGTATTTTTTTTTTACAAATATGACATTTACATAAGTATTCAGACCCTTTACTCAGTACTTTGTTGAAGCACCTTTGGCAGAGATTACAGCATCGAGTCTGCTTGGGTATGACGCTACAAGCTTGGCACACCTGTATTTGGAGAGTTTCTCCCATTCTTCTCTGCAGATCCTCTCAAGCTCTGTCAGGTTGGATGGGGACCGTTGTTGCACAGCTATTTTCAGCTCTCTCCAGAGATGTTCGATCGGTTCAAGTCCGGGCTCTGGCTGCGCCACTCAAGGACATTCAGAGACTTGTCCTGAAGCCACTGCTGTGTTGTCTTGGCTGTGTGCTTATGGTCGTTTTCCTGTTGGAAGGTGAACCTTTGCCCCAATCTGAGGTCCTGAGCGTTCCGGAGCAGGTTTTCATCAAGGATCTCTATGTACCTTGCTCCGTTCATCTTTCCCTCGATCCTGACTGGTCTCTCAGTCCCTGTCACTGAAAAACATCCCCACAGCATGATGCTGCCACCACCATGCTTCACCTTAGTGATGGTGCCAGGTTTCCTCCATACGTGACGCTTGGCATTCAGGCCAAAGAGTTCAGTCTTGGTTTCATCAGACTAGAGAATCTTGTTTCTCATGCTCTGAGAGTCCTTTAGGTGCCTTTTGGCTGTCATGTGCTTTTTATTGAGGAGTGGCATCAGTCTGGCCACTCTACCATAAAGGCCTGATTGGTGGATATGAAAGGTTCTCCCATCTCCACAGAGGAACTCTAGAGCTCTGTCAGAGTGACCATCGGGTTCTTGGTCACCTCCCTGACCAAGGCCCTTTTCCTCCGATTGCTCAGTTTGGCCGGGCAGCCAGCTCTAGAAAGAGTCTTGGTGGTTCAAAACTTTTTCCATTTAAGAATGGTGGAGGCCACTGTGTTCTAGGGGACCTTCAATGCTGTAGACATTTTTGGTACCCTTCCCCAGATCTGTGCCTCGACACAATCTTGTCTCGGAGCTCTACAGACAGTTTCTTCAACCTTATGGCTTGGTTTTTGCTCTGACATGCACTGTCAACTGTGGGACCTTATATAGACAGGTGTGTGCCTTTTCAAATCATGTCCAATCGATAGATTTTACCAAAGGTGGACTCCAATCAAGTTGTAGAAACTTCTCAAAGACAATCAATGGAAACAAGATGCACCTGAGCTCAATTTTGAGTCTCATCACAAAGGGTCTGAATACTTATGTAATTAAGGTATTTCTGTTTAGATTTTGTTTATAAATTAGTTGACTCAAAGAGAGAGAAAGACAATAGTTGAACAGTTTTGAACAAATTCTGTTCTTCCAAAATGAAGGAGAAGTAAGAGAGAGATGCAGAGAGAGAGAGGGAGAGAGAGATTTCGTCATTTTCTTTTCACTTTCAGCTTCACTTACTTAGCTAGCAAATGCAGCTAGCTAGTTTAGCCTACTCAAACACCCTGTTAGCTAGCTGGCTATGACTATCCAACACAACACTGGAACTCTTCCAAGTCAAGGTAATCTTTTGGTTTAACTAATTTATTTCCATCGGGGCCCGCCGGTGTAAGTCCTAAACGGCTTACTGACTGTACACTATAACGTTACTGCATGATTGTAGCAGGTTTACTAACGCGTTAGTTCTATTAGCTATGTTGACTATGAAGTTACTTTAGCTAATATGGTAACAACGATGTCGGCTGTGTGTAGCAGTTATGATATGGTTTGGCTTTGAACTTTTTTTTTCGCCTGGACACATACAGCTGATGTGTTGTGCATTGACGTTCACAAGCGACGAAGGGAAAAGGTGAGAAGAGGACTTTGTGATGATGAAAAAAGGGCTTAATAAATAAATGTGATTGATTGATTGACGTCACACTGACCTCTCACAGGATGCATTTGACGTTGCAGCTGACTTTAAAGGTGAGCCGAGCCTGACTGATCTACAAATCACCTTGCATCATAAATAACTACTCATTTTTATTTTTACTGCTCCTCCTGTTTCTAAGCTGTCTAAATAAAGCATTGAAAAAAATAAAGGTGGAATTCCACCAAAATATATTTTCTGTAGGCCCTTATTTTCAATATTTTGGCTATAAACCATTAGCATTTCTAAACCATTGATTGTGTGAGAAACACATTTTTTGTGTTTTGATGCTGCTTTTTACATGCTGTGAAAACCTCAAAAAGTGTTTTCACAACACTCTTAAAAACACAAAAACGAAGGTTGAAGAACCACTTTGGGTGTTTCAGAGTATTTAATGTATGTTTTAAAACACATTCTGTGCATTGAAACACTTACATTGGGTTTACATTCAAAGACCCTTGAAACACCAGATCTCAGATTAGGTGCACTGCTTTTCATGGTGTTTTGAGACTTTCTATTTTTGCAGTGTAGTTATAGTTGTGGGTGGAGGAGATGAGTTTGTTATCAAGGCAGGATAGTAGATACTGTACAGTACATAACATTTCAATAGAAGACAAAGGAGTGCAACTCTAGCCCATGTCTTCTGTTATTCCAATAGTCAATAGTTAAAGGCACAACAATGGTTGTACCTTCTCAGCAACCCTATTATCAAGACTGATTCCTTCTAGATTAACATATTGTTTTAAGTTCTTTTTTATTTGCTCCACTCTTAGCATTCATATGAATAAAAAATGTTTTACTGCAGTTTCGACAAAGACATGTATGCCTGGGGTTTCCATGCTATTCAAAATGAAAACCTGCTGATCAACCAAACTTGCCAAGTGGCCCATGGGTGAAGGCAGCTGGCCAATAGCCAGCCGTTACAGGGAAGAAGACCCCGCCATTCAGTTAAAGTTCCCAGGAAGACGTTAGTCAAAACCACGTTTGCCTAATCCATCCAGCCTGTTGTAACATGTTTGTTTAGATCTTAAAGATGTTAAGACACTGTTGTTGAATGTGCTACTTGGCTCCTAGTCCAAGGATCATGAGTATGAGATTTTCAACATAACGATAAATGGTTGACACCTTTCCAGAAGGCAAGACTTGGAAAAAACCTTTCAAACTTTTCTCATTGCTTGGATCTTTTTGTAGCTATTATCACCATATCTTTGTTAATTCCTTTGTTAATTCCCATCTCAAGATGCCCATCTCAAGATTTTATTCACAATGTAAAATTTGTGTGAGTGCGTTCGTGCTTTCTTTCACGTGTGCACACAAGTGCACACATGTTCAAGCGAGAGAGGGGAGACGGAACCAACATAGGAAATCCTACCTTAACATGGACGAGGAGAAATGAAAGGACAGAGTCTTTACCACAACAAGGGAAATATGTAGGAAATCTGTAGGAAAGCACAGAGACATTGAGGAACAGGCAAAGGTAGACGATAAAAGGAGGGGGGAGAGACGTGGAAAGAGAGGGACGGAATGGGACATCTGAAAGAGTGTAGGAGGAAACACACACATGGGATGAATGACAGGATAGGAGCATCATTCTTCCAAAGTAGGGAAAGGTGAGGGTTCAGGGGACAAATATAAGAATGCAGGGAGGTCAAGCTTTCAAGTTAAGGAGGTGTGAAGGAATACACACACACACACACATACAGTGCATTCAGAAATGTATTCAGACCCCTTGACTTTTTCCACATTTTGTTACATTACAGCCTTGTTCTAAAATTGATTAAAACATGTTTTTCCTCATCAATCTACACACTATACCCAATAATGACAAAGCGAAAACAGGTTTTTAGATATTTTTGCAAATTTATAAAAAATAAGAAACAGAAATACCTTATTTACGTAAGTATTCAGACCCTTTGCTGTGAGACTCGAAATTGAGCTCAGGTGCATCATGTTTCCATTGATCATCCTTGAGATAATTCTACAACTTGACTGGAGTCCACCTGTGGTAAATTCAATTGATTGGACATGATTTGGATAGACACACACCTGTCTATATAAGGTCCCACAGTTGACAGTGCATGTCAGAACAAAAACCAAGCCATGAGGTTGAAAGAATTGTCCATAGAGCTCCGAGACAGGATTGTGTCGAGTTACAGATCTGGGGAAGGGTACCAAAAAATGTCTTCAACATTGAAGGTCCCCAAGAACACAGTGGCCTCCATCATTCTTAAATGGAAGAAGTTTGGAACCACCAAGACTCTTCCTAGAGCTGGCCGCCCGGCCATACTGAGCAATCGGGGGAGAAGGTCAGGGGAGAAGGGCCTTGGTCAGGGAGGTGACCAAGAACCCGATGGTCACTCTGACATGGCTGCAGAGTTCCTCTGTGAAGATGGGAGAATCTTCCAGAAGGACCGCCATCTCTGCTGCACTCCACCAATCAGGCCTTTACGGTAGAGTGGCCAGACAGAAGCCACTGAGTAAAAGGCGCATGACAGCCCGCTTGGAGTTTGGCAAAAGGCACCTAAAGGACTCTCAGACCATGAGAAACAAGATTCTCTGGTCTGATGAAACCAAGGTTGAACTCTTTGGCCTGAATGCCAAGCCTCATGTCTGGAGGAAACCTGGCACCATCCCTATGTGAAGCATGGTGGTGGCAGCATCATGCTGTGGGAATGTCTTTCAGCGGCAGGGACTGGGAAACTAGTCAGGATAGAGGGAAAGATGAACGGAGCAAAGTACAGAGAGATCCTTGATGAAAACCTGCTCCAGAGTGCTCAGGATCTCAGACTGGGGTGAAGGTTCACCTTCCAACTGGACGACGACCCTAAGAACACAGCCAAGACAATGCAGGAGTGGCTTCGGGACAAGACTCTGAATGTCCTTGAGTGGACCAGCCAGAGCCCGAACTTGAACCCAATCGAACATCTCTGGAGAGACCTGAAAATAGCTGTGCAGTGACACACCCCATCGAACCTGACAGAGCTTGAGAAGATCTACAGAGAAGAATGGGAAAAACTCCCCAAATACAGGTGTGGATGGGGAATGCTTTTTTTCTCCCATTTTAGAATAAGGCAGTAACGTAACAAAATGTAGGAAAAGTCAAGGGGTCTGAATACTTTCAGAATGCAATGTACACACACAGGCACGCATAAACCCACAAAAGCATACACACCTACACACACAAACAAACACAAAATGTTTAAGATGTTTGAGTCAGCGAAGGCAAAAGGGTTGAAGTTGGAATTTGATCGTTAACCCTAACAGAATCGAATAACTACCAGGTCCAGTTGTCAATCCTGAACGCCTTCCATAGCGAACAGTGATAAGTGAGCTCTTGTCATTATATTCTATAAATGCTTTGCTCGATGTGGATATCCACAACCCCATAAATAAACACAAAAATCCCCCCACTCCCTTGTCTCTCACTTTTACAAGAGAACATATACTTACACAGCCAAACACATGCATTCGTGAACAAACACAGAGACACACACACACATTTTGTGCAACGCCTCTATTTAAGCAAGCACATTATTCTTGTTTGGACATACAATACAATGACTGTGTTTTGTGAACTTGTTTGTGTGTGCTTGCCTGCGTGTGTGGTGCCTGCCTGCGTGCGTGCGTCTGCTTGCCTCCGTGCGTGGTGCCTGCCTCCGTGCGTGGTGCCTGCCTGCGTGCGTGCATGCATGTGTGTTCACATTCAAGTGTGTGTGTGGTATACAGGTCCTGGCATCGTGCCAGAGGCACAGATGAGCTCATTATTCAAACACGTATTTCCACATTTCCATGTGTCACAGTGCCCCAGTACCAAAGCTACTGAGCAGAGGAGACAAAAACAGAGGAGAGGGACACACACCAAATCACACATACTTGTCTGTACATGTTTGGAAAAGCACATATCGGGACATGCAAACATAAAGGGCGGCGAGATTTATCATGCTTGATTTGCACCAGTGAAAATGTTGAATTGTTTTGGAATGGAGCGCACCAAAGCCACACCACAGTCTTACTCTGTCTTACTCATTCTTATATAATGTCTTACTCATTCTTTTATCAACCTGTACCTTTTTGCACTGCGTTGTATATCTCTTATTATAAACTGGGTGGTTCGAGCCCTGAATGCTGATTGGCTGAAAGCCGTGGTATATCAGGTATACCACGGGTATGACAAAACATTTATTTTTACTCTTCTAATTACGTTGATAACCAGTTTATAATAGCATTAAGGAACCTCGGGGGGTTGTAGTATATGGCCAATATACCACGGCTAAGGGCTGTATCCAGGCACTCCGCATTGTGTTTTGCCTAAGAACAGCCGTTAGCTATGGTATATTGGTCATATACCACACCCCCTCAGGCCTTATTGCTTAATCAACTCTGAACACTACAAACAAACAGAAAACAAACTACAAACAAACCTGAACCTGGGAGAGAGACATGCACACTGGCATACACAACATCAGAAATGCTCAAATTGCCACTCAAACAGACTTTTCAGATTCATTCATGCAGACAGACAGCCAGACAGTGCATTGAGAGCAGTCACATGAACACTCACATTGGCAACCTCTGGCGTACTTTTCTCTAGCAATTTAGGGCTAGACCTGTTACCAGGACAACCATGCCCTTCCCCTCTGGCTTTGGGGGAGGTTTTTAAAAGGGGAGGAGAAAAGTGGGTGTGTACAACTCTTGCTCTACTACACAGGGTAAAAAAAAGGGGAGGGGACACCAAAACAACCAAGAGGAGAGAATACCTCTTCCCTTCTCATTCCTCCTCTGGAGCAACAACAATAACAACCTCAACTCACTGACAGAGACTCTTCACACCTCAGAACAAGACAGGCCACATTATCCCTACACTTCCAGCCCTCTTTCTTACTTAAACCCAGCTTCAACAGATTTAACCCCCTCCACCCTGTGGCCATGGGAGAAGACTCATCGCACGCCGAGCGCAGCAGCAACAGCAGCAGCATCTTGGTCAACCCCCAGCAGTATCAGGCACAGCAAGACAACATGGACCTCCTGGTGTCCAGCTTCAGCCCCAGCTCAGCTCCCTCCTCCCCCACCAACACCCTCTCCAGGCTGGGCTTGAAAACCCCTGGGAGCCTCGGACCTGGAAGTCCCACCAGTCCCACTGCCAGGGACCAGGTGAGCGCCATCACAGTGGTGGCTCTACTCGACAAGCTGGTCAACATGCTGGAGGCAGTGCAGGAGAATCAGCGACGCATGGAGTCGCGTCAGGCCGACCTGGAGGGCGCCGTGCGGGGGGTCCAGGGCGACGTGACCCGCCTTTCCAAGAACCACACCAGCACATCCAACAGCGTGAACAAGCTGCTAGAGCGCTCACGCAAGGTCAACACCCACATGAAGGATGTGCGGGAGCGGCTGGACAAGCAGGCGTCGCAGGTGAAGCGGCTGGAGGCCAACCATGGACACCTGCTAAAGAGGAACCACTTCAAAGTGCTAATCTTCCAGGTATGGATGGAGGGGCGGATGGAGGGATGGATGGATGAGCTTTTGTATAAGGGGAATAAGGGAAAAGCAGATGCGAGGAATGTGTTAGTATATCATCATGGGGAAGGGGGTTGTGAGTGTATGAGGGTGTGAGGGTGAGAGAATATTGAGGTATTTTTTAAATAATAATAATCTGTGTTGCGGTTGTGAAAGAAGAAGAGGGAAGAATGTTAAACGTGTTAAAAGTGTTTGTTTGTTTGTGTGCATATGTGTCAAGTGTGTGAGCGGGAGAACAGAATGTTAAAAATGTTTGTGAGAATGTTGAAAGTATAGTTGTTTGTTAGTGTGTGTGTGTGTGTGTGTGTGTGTGTGTGTGTGTGTGTGTGTGTGTGTGTGTGTGTGTGTGTGTGTGTGTGTGTCCGTGTGTGCGTGTGTGCATGCGTGAAACAGAGTGTGCACGTTGGGAGTTAATGCAAGGGTGTGTAAGAGTGCAGCCTACACTGTATGTTTGTGTTCTGTGTAGATGCAGTGGGGCTTGGCAGTTAAAAAGTGTGTGAGAGGGAGAAGTGTGAAAGTGTGTGAGAGGGAGAAGCAGGATCATCAAATCAAATCAAGCTTTATTTATACAGCACATTTCAGACATGGACTGCATCGCAATGTGCTTCACAGGAAAAAAGGAATAAAAAACGATGAAAATAAAAACTTCAATATTTACTACACAACAAACATAACAGGATAAAAAACCTACAGAATAACAATAAAAACTGAACGACTAAAAAGCACCATAAGGAAAAGCAAAGCTAAAAAGGTGTGTTTTAAGATATTTTTTAAATATGTACACAGTTTCAGCCCCCCTCAGGTTCTCTTGTTCATGGTGGGAACTAACTACAGTATAAAGGGAGTGGTGTTTTGAAGAACTCCATAGGATATGTAAGAGAGAGAGAGAGAGAGAGAGAGAGAGAGAGAGAGAGAGAGAGAGAGAGAGAGAGAGAGAGAGAGAGAGAGAGAGAGAGAGAGAGAGAGAGAGAGAGAGAGAGAGAGAGAGAGAGAGAGAGAAAGAGAGGGTGTGTGTGTATGGGTGTGTCTGGGAATGGCACAAAGAAGATAATAAAAGAATGTGTAGATCACCACTCTGACTTAAACTAGATCTGTTTACAAGACCAGATAACCATTACGCATAATGATCTCAAATCTGGTTAAATTAGATGTATGCATTTACAGTGAGTGTCTTTATCTTGCTTGTCCTCCACTTTGGCCACAAACACCAGTGGTGGGTTAAACAATATTACTTTTTAAAGAAAATATATTTCTATGAGTAATTGTGTTAGTAAACTAGAATATAATTTCCCCAATTTTCTGAGCAATATAGCTCAGTATTTATTTTATACAATCTTTTTAGCTCATCTTTATCAAGGGTGCCAATAATTTTGGAGGTGACTGTATATATAACGTAACAATAAATGTATAATAGTATAATATATCACTTGGCAGACACTTTCATCTTACAGTACAGTTAGTGCATACATGTTTAATATGTGACTGTGATCCCTGCATGAATAAACCCACAACCTTAGCATTATTAGTGTCACGCTCTCACCAATTGAGCCAACACATAAAAGGTGTGATTTTAATAGTATTTGCATAGTGTTTCCCAACATGACTCTTTGCTCAGTCCTAGCTCCATTCTACCAAATATACTGAATCATTGTGTGGCCAGTATATTCTCTATGATTGGACAGGGCTCGATATGTGTTCAGTTAGGAAAAGGGTGAGTCATATTGACACAGGCTAAGTCCTAAGAGCTCCTAAGCAATGATCTTATCTGGTTTCCCAGGTACTACCGCTGTTGTTCAATAGCAACAGGTGCAAATACTGCACATTGGCTCAAACTGCATGACTCTAGTCTAATGGTTGTGCATTTATAGTTGATTATCCACAGGTAATCCCTATAGTTGTTGCCTACCTACAATGTTTTTTTTTATGTAGTCCTTCTATTGTTATGGTCTAAAATGTTGTAAAATATTGATGATGGGGTCTTGGGGATTATTGACAGATGTAAAATTAGGTTATGTCTATAGGCCCTGATCTAGGCTATATGACCAGCAGCATAGAGTACAAGTAAAAATTGACCATTTCCTAAAGTGGCAGGTTATCATGCAAGTTTGCGCTAACAGTGCGCTTTATGGTAGCAGGTGGGGGACCAAGTCATTTTTACCGAACCTTAAAAATAAAGTGAGGGAATGTGTTTGTGCTTGCATGTGTTCGTGCCTGTGTGCATCCGTTCCTGCAGGTATGTGTATGTGTGGGTGAAAGTGTGTGAGGCACTGTGTAGTGGCCGTTGGTGGTTATGGAGACGTTGAGAGTGTGGTCAACGTGACAGCAGTCTCATTGACATTCTGCATGGCCCTGGGAACATTGGAAAAGGGAACCAAGTGTACATTTTTTCCCTTCCTCTACGTTCTCTCTATCTTTCTCTTGCTGTGTCTTTCTGTGTTTTTCTACCGTTATCCTCTCTCTTTTCAATCTCTCTATTTTTCTCTCCCCCTGGCTGTTCCTGAACCAAGTTACCCTAAGCATGTGAGCAGCCTCGCCACAAACCACCTGTCATTATCATTTGAACATGCCGCTATTCCTCCTTTCTCAGCCATTCTGTCACACACCTCTACGAAGAATTCTCTATGAGTCATAAACAACGCAACTCACCGATAAGGCATTTCAATTCTAACTCCACGCCCGAGCTCTCTTTGTCTCTTATTTGCTCCTGGCCTAGAAAATTTCTCTCCACTGATTGACGGATTCCTCCACGTATTGATTGAGAACACACATTGCTCTGTACGTGCCACCCGAGGTGGAAATGTCGCCATGCCACTCCAAAGGGCGCTCAGTAAATATCCACCACTTTGGGCCAAAGGAGCACTGACCAGCGCTGCCACGGATAGGATGACAGGTCCCTGCCGCTCGGCTGCTTTTCTCTCCCTAACGAGCCCTAACGAGGCCGGGGGAAACTGTAGTCCTTAATTACTGTAATTTGGCCCGTTGTTTGTTTGTGTTTGTGCTCCAGTTCTGTTCCTGTCTCCATATTCTCCCCTTCCCAGCCACGGAAGAGGAATATTACAATGCCATGTGCTAGTTTCTGTTTGTGACAAAGTAAGTTGTTGATTCCAGGGAGGTGAAAGGTCTTGGATTGTCGAGAGGGTAAACGTTCATTTATATTCAAATGGGAAACAGGGACACTAATACAATCGTGGTACGCAACACAATTTGCTGGGCAGTTCACATTTGTGTGTGTCTGTTTGTGCATGCGTACGTGCATGTGTGCAGGCATCTGTTTGTGTGTGCATGCGTCCGTGTGTGTGCATGCATGTGTGCAACATTCAAGATGAGTAGTGTGATTGGCGGGGTGGTATGGGAAGGGAAGTCCTCTGATAGCTTCCTAGTGTTTATGGGACATTTAATCATTGAGAGGCATGGAGTGACAACAACAGTGACTATCACACACTATCAAAACATATTTAAATCCAAATGCATCAAATGAAAACACACTTCACAACCAAACAAAACATGCTGCATCACTAAAACAAAACACAGACGTTCTATAACACATTTGACTCAAGCAAATGTGGATTACAGTGTATTCGTGCTGGAGAATGCATGGCTGAAGTTGTGTGATCTTTTTTCTTTCCCATTTTAATTGTCATCAGTATTTTTAACTAACATTCTGTGCTTGAACCGTTGCATACTATCAGTAAGAATGAAACACTTTGGCATCATATTAAAAAAATCTGACCATGCAGCTAATTAAATTGAAGAGTTCAGTAGTCAGCTTTAAGTAATTAATTATTTCAGTTTTATTTACTTAGCTAACAGACTTTACTGCCATTGTCACGGAACTCATGACCAAAGGTCTCTAGGCTTGTCACCATTGGTGGCAGTGAGTGAGCATTGGCAACAGGGTTTATTTATCCAAGTTCCTTATGCTGGATAAGGCAGGGCCAGTCCTGCTTTAGCTGCCTCACACAGTTTTTTTTTTCTTTCAATTTTTAACCCCTGATTCAACTCATCATTCTTAAAGACAATGTTCCAAATACTTAGAAATATACCTTCCCTCATTGTTTCCTTGAAATAAGTGATTGGATAGGTACCGATCCCATGTGTTAATTTGAGCCAGTTTCACACAGCAGGAAAATAATCTTGCAGCAACTGGAAATGTGAATTGTTATGTGGACTATAATTGATACATTTTTCGTTAGGGCAAATCAAGTCTGACATTTTAAAGCGGAAATTACAAACTTTAGAAGCCCTTTTAAACCATAACTAAACTACAAGTGTGCATTTCTTGCTGTGCAGGACAATTCCTGCTCAACAGGATGATCAAATTAAGAAATGGCATCTGTAAAAGCAAGGTTAACACCCCATTACTTTACCACCCATTACCAATCCAACCAATCCAGATCTGTGATTAGTTGAAGGAAGGTAGAATGGAAGGATGCATTTCTAAAGTATTCGAACAATGCCCATCATTTGAACTCAAGAAAAGCCTGACTAGAAAGACATTTTCAAAACTCTTAGTACAAAACTCCAAACTGGTGACACTTGTAACACAGCATGTCTCATATTCAAAATGTTTTTATTGTGCATTCATTTTGTTTAAAGACAATCTTCACCACACAGCCATATATTCAAAATATATACGTTTTGTGTGAAATATAATGAGAACATTGATTTAATCACCAAAACACAACATAATGATATATTTTCAATGTAGTTATTTAAACAACCAGTTAATTCAATAGCAAAAAATGTAAGATACATGTTTCAAAATTGCCTTTTGAATGTGATATGCTACAGTACTGTAAATTAAAGTACATTACACTGTTTTCACAGTAGGCAATACACTTGCACTACCCCATTCAAATTGACTGAACATCAAATGTCCATAATTTCTATCCCATGTGAGATTTGGTATTGGTATTTATTAGGATCCCAATTAGCCACAGCAAATGCATCAGCTACTCTTCCTGGGGTTCACATGAAACAAGATATAATACAGTGGGGGGAAAAAGTATTTAGTCAGCCACCAATTGTGTAAGTTCTCCCACTTAAAAAGATGAGAGAGGCCTGTAATTTTCATCATAGGTACACGTCAACTATGA